AATTTGCAATAGAGGTGCCAAGACTTGGACTTGTTTACTTTATATTAACTAAATAGAGATGGCTTAGGAGCATTCAATCCAATATATACTGATAATTTGGAAAATAATTGCTGAAGTTGGAAAGGAAAAAACATTAAAATTACTTACTTCACTCTGTCCAAATTAAGACCCATTCCTTTACCACCATCTTGACCTGTATAAACCAAACACATTCAAGACAATTTTAATAATGTTAGAATTCAAACACCCTCTGTAGCATTTCTGCTATAACTGATTACATGAGAAGTGAGAACAATACTTTGAGCCTTTTACAATTTAAGCAGTTTAATTTGACAAAATAGTTATCCCCTCAACTAATCCAATGAATAATATTAGAAGAAAAAAATTCTTTTTTTCCCAAACAGTAATAACTTAACATTTGAAACATTTACCCTTATTTTCCCACATTTTGTAAGCAACAAAGCAAATAATAAAAGGGAAAAAAAGGGTGTAATAGAACCCAAGAAAATGGGTTGCTAGAACCCACAACTGGCAGCCAAAATTTTATTTTCTTTTCGTTTCTAAGCAACCAAACACAAGGAATAAGAGAAACAGATAGTACCTGGTAATGGGGTGTTGTAAAGCAAAACTTCCAAGTGCTTACCATATATGGGAGATCTACTATTGGCGGCCATAACTCAATAAAACGGCTTGTTGTTGCATCCAAACCTCGATGATCTGATTCTCACCACCAATTTTTCTGGTTTTTTGCTTCAAGAATGAAAATAGACACTGCCAACACACACACGTCTCTGGATGGAGAGACGATGGCAAACTGGTAAATTACCAGAGCAGCCTAATGAATGGCAAACTGGAAAAATTCCCTTTTTATTTATTTTTGGGTAAACCTATTCACTAGATAAACAAACAGCGTACAAAATCGTTGTTAAATAAACGATCCCAACTCAAACTGTTTTTAAGACTCGCATTCTGCATACGTTAGTTTTTGAGATACGGAGTATTTAAATTATTAATAAAGAAACCTAAATCTATTGTTCACTACATTTGATCAGTTCATTTCTTATTTGAGTTCATGATTTAATCAACATCATTGCAAAGGAAAAGAAGATCACGATAAATCCCTCAAAACCCAATCCTGCAAACATAATGAATGATCACAACAGCTTGATGTGCAGCAATGGCGTGCTCCAAGTGAGCGCATTGAGCACAAAGCGATTTTCGTCTCTCTTCAATGGCTGCAAGGTGGTCTTGAGCCTGCCTATACTCTCTGGATCTTTTTGTTGCAACTCTGCGGACATGGCAGCAAAGGTAAGCCTGCTCTCACCTGGAGTTGGCCGAGGTCGCCGCCTCAGGAATATTTGTTTGGGCCTGAATCACCACCTCCCAGACGGAGAGGGGAGAAGTCCAGCAAGTGTATCGCGGGGTGGACCACCCCCAGACTAGCAGTCCTGGCAGGCCCTTACACCATCACCTACAATGCCGTCACCCAGGCGTGGCGCCGAAAGCCCTAAACAGTGTTAAGGTTAGGGTTAGCCGGCTTCACATATCCTCATTACCATGCATAGCATATAGGGTTTACTTATGCTCCATGATATCTCCTATATAAACCCCTCTATACACTTGTATTATTCATTCAATGCAAAATACATTTTCACATATTCTAACATAATATGATTTTGAACGTTATCTTCTTGGGTAAACATGACACAGACATGTGAATTTCTAGTTTACAATTAAGTGGGATTTCTGATTTTCGGTTTTAACTTTTGGTATAGCATTGTGTTCATGGAACTTAAAATTGACCTATTGTTAGCTCAAATAAGATAGTCTATTGGATTAATAAATAAAAAACACTTTGAATTCTATCTATTACTTGACAACAAAAAGTTTTACTTTAAACAAAGATGTCAATAATGAAGAAATATATTGATAAAAAGAATATAAAAACTCTTTTTCCATTCCATAAAACCAAACACCAAAAAATGTCATCACATACATAGGGAAAAGCTTAACCCTTGAAGAGCTCGTTTACATGAATAGAAAAAATCTCCTATACAAATATGTATATATATATACGCACAATTGAATTGAAAAGTGACAAGAAAACCTTAACAGCTGCAAGGAAGACCAACGTGCTTCTGCAACTCCTCTACCGATAGACCAAAGTTACTTTGCTCTCAATCCATCACCAAATTCCTTCCTTTACAACCCAATTCTCCCAAAAAGATCATCAAATACATTACTTTAAAAACCCATTCTCCCAAAATCATCCACAAGATCAAGAATGTCATCGGTTGAGTCGGTGCACTGAGAACCGATCGATAGCTGTTGGGTGTTGAAAGATTGGTTCAAACATGCCCAGGAAAGTTGCATGGCCAAGAAGATGGTGAGGCGGGGCTCTAGCCACGATAAATCCAGACCGACGATCTTGAACTCCGCGATGGCGTAGCAAGCAAACTGAATGTATTCAGCACACAATCGTCGTGCCCTCCATGTCTTCACCACAGAAGATAGAAAAACCACCATATCCTCCAGCAACTTGGCTTCGACCCCGACTGGATTTGGAATAAAGCGGGAAAAGGTCTCTGGATGAAGACTCCAAAGCTTGTCGAGACAAGGAACATTCCGAAACTTGCACAGGTAGCCACGCCACTCAACCAGGTCATTTGGGCTAGGGGGAGTCCAATTGGAAGGGAAAGACGTCATTTGGGCTAGGGTTTATGCGAGTGGAGGACTTGGAGGCGAATGAATAGAAGATGATGAATAAGGAAAGAAGATATAGCGTATATATAAACCCTAAACCCTACTCTTTGAAATTAGAATTGAAAAAGGTATTATATAATATTTTACTGTATTTAGATAAGGAAAGTATGTAAAAAGAGTATATTCTAGTAATTTAAGTACTAATTAATTATCAAATCTTGTCTTAAAAATTTCAATATTTTTAAGATTTGCCTACCAGAATCTCGTCAAAGCCCAACTTATCACCCGCTAACTACGTAGTAAAGTATAAATGGGACTTGGAGGCGAATGAATAGAAGATGATGAGTAAGGGTATGTTTGGATTGAGAGATTTGGAGGGACAGTGAGAGAAAATAAAAGAAAGGATAGTGTAAATTGTATTTGGGTAGGTTAAAATAAGAGAAAAGAAATGATAGGGAGAGAGATGGTAAAAATAGATTCTCCAATGCAATGTTATATGAGTTGTCAAATTTTAATTTTGCTAAAACTTATGCCAATTGTAGCACAAGAAATAACTACTGCTATTTCAGAAAAAGAGAATGACAAAGAGAGTGAGAGAAAGAGGGGCAATGGAAACTAAAAGATATGGGTTTTGAATTTTTGGACAATCTTGAAATGATATGCCAATATGGGTTCATATATATATATATATATATATATATATATATATATATATTTTGAACAATCACGGCTTTATATATTTATGATAATAAGAGTATGGCATGATGTTTGCTTTTGTTGTTATAAAAGTAATTTGTTGTAATAAAATCATCATCGAAAGAACAACTTTTTTTTTCTTCTTTTTCAAATTTTCAATAACTTGGAATAATGTATGACTTCAAATCTTCAATAATGTTCAACTTGTTAATTAGAATTATTTTCTATTTTTTAAATATAATATTTTATATAATTCAAATGTTTTTAAAAAAAAATTAATTGATCAATAATTACTGTCAACGAGAACCCAACTAGATACTAGTTCAATTTTTCAAAAACTTGGACAACTATTTCTGAAACACAAAATGAACTTACCCAAACTTAATTAGGTTTGAACTGGAATGGAGGTGTCAATAAGAAGACCCCGCTATAACCCGAATCTAAATCCAACTTTTATATATTTATAATTCTGAATATATTTTATATAACTATTCTTTAGATCTTGATTTATCACATATCAATTCTTTGAAAAATACCCTTGTCCTACTGGGTTTGGGTTTAAATTCTCAAGCTTGAGGTCTAGGGTTCAAGATTGGTACAGGGAAGAGGAAAAAAAAAAAAAAAAACCAAAATTTTTGAGACCAAAATTTTTTTTGGCCCAACTTAAAATATTTAGGAGTGGGTAGGGCTTGGGTTGAGATCCATGGATTGAAGGTGCATTTGGATTGGGTTTGAACACATTGGGTTGAGCCTGAGTTGAGCTCTCAACTCACCCCAGTTGCAACCTCATATATATAACATGACCAAACGAGTGGAATGATTTTTTTTTCCCTATATATATATATATATATATATATTAGACATATATTGAGGATTTTACTAGCAAGCTGTATAAATTACAGGATGTGCTATCACATCAAATCTTTTATGCCCTTCTGCAGGCATAGATAAGCATCAGCTACCGTTCTTCCGAGTTAAATTTGTTCCAAGCTTCCTGAAAACATAAAGAAAGGATATTAAAAGAGTATACACAATAATATAGAAATAGTCCTAAAGCAAAATGCTCAACCTTCATGCCTCCATAATTTTTTTTTATTTTTTTATTTTTTCTCATTTATTCATTTTTTGAAAGCAATAAATAGTGAAGGAAACAGAAAAGGGGAAATTAAAAAAAAAAAAAATCAAAAAAATCAAAAAACAAATTCCCTTAGGGCCAGTTTGGTTTCTGTAGTATAGTGTGGTGTATTGCTCCAGAACGTGAACAGGAAGCCATTTTGGGAACACTACACGTTTGGGCCGGGCTATGTTGGTTTGCACAGTTTCAGAACACTTTGTTAAAAAGGCTGAAATCTCAGAACAATACATTGTTGTTCTTGGTTGTTCCGACTTCATCAAGGCCCATGTATATTATGCAACACTTCGGAGGTATATGAGAACAACTACAAACACAAATTAGAACATGTTCTAGGGCTTACTGCTGTTTCGCAGGTGGCGGCCACTCCACTATACAGTTGTGAGCTTCAAATCGACGACTGGAACACTGGAACTTCAAATCGGCGACTGGAACTTCAAATCGGGCCACCTTGTACTTCAAATCGACGACTGGAACATCCTCTCCACGACTGGAACTTCAAATCGGCGACTGGAACTTTAGATCTGAGAAATGATGGCCGCCGTCTGCAACTTCCAGCTAGCTCCAGTCTTCTTCTCCGGCGACGGTTTCGCAATAAAAGGTGCACGTACTCTTCTTCTCCCCAAACTGTCTATCTCTATTTTCTCTGTCTCTCTCACACACACACTGGAATACCCACAATCTGGAACTGAATGATAGACGAATTTTGTCCTCTCGAAAATGGTAACAAGAGTACACTAGTTCTTCGAGAAGATATTGAGTCATAGAAATAGAATCACACTGGTACATTACGACTTAAGAAAATCCAGACTCCTCCTTTCTTCTTGCTATTCTTTGTGTGTGTGTGAAGATTATTAAAATCCAGACCCCATGATGGATCGATTCGGGATCTTCAAGATTGGAACGACAATAATTTTGCAAAATCGGAAAACAGACTCCATGAACATGTTTTCTTGTGTGAAAAGATCAGAAAACAGATATGAATGGTGTATATATATATATATAAAATAATAAATTAGAGTCCAAAAGTTTTCCGCTAATTTATGTTATTAATATATTTATTGCCATGATGAGATTAGTCCATATTTGTATAATATTAGTTGAATTTACTACTATCGAACTCACTATTATTATTGATCATATAAATTATACTGGTTTAATTTTCCTCTAGTGAAATTTTTTAGTCTTATTGGTTTAAAAATTCACTTGATTGTGTACTTACAGGAACTTTACATGAATCGACATACTATCATTACAAGAGATATTATGATATGATCGATCTGAGATTATATGATCTCGACTAATTACAATGCGTTATGTAAATAAAAAACAAAATCAAACTTACACATTTATTTATGTATCGATTTAATACCATTCAAGAAAATTTAAAATATATACTAGAACTTATGTACGTAGTCAAGGTTGTGATGCTGTTACCGTATCCAATGCATTCTAGCTAGTAAAATATATTCCTGTTACACGAGAGATTGTGGAAATTGTTATTACTATATCAATCTGAATTATTATATTAGAACTCTAAATTATTATTTTATATATATATATATATATATATATATATATAAATCTGAAGGGGGTTTTCAGGATTAGGAAGCTGGATGATATTGACAATGCTTCAAAGTGTGCTGTATTGCTCTAGATTACAGTTGTCTTATTGCCCCTTTTAACTCATTCTTATTTACACTATGTAATTAGATGGATATCAATTGTGAGAATGTGGTGGGAGAAGAAATAAAGGACCGTACAAAGAATACGGATGATGGAAAACTAGTGTGGGATGATTCTAACCTCGAAGCTTTCATCATCTGTATGGAGGAAGAAGTGAGAGCTGAGAATCGGAATAGTACAACTTTTACCGCAATTGGTTGGAAGAATGTACTAAAAGCCCTGACGGTCCGTACAGGGAAGAAGTATACAATGAAACAACTTAAAAGCAAATTCAACCACGTGAGGGTAGAGTACAAAACCTTTGTGAGTTTGTTAGCAGAAACAGGCGCGGGATACAATGTTGAGACGGGCATGGTTATAGTTGAAAAAGAAAGATGGGATAAATTGATCAAGGTTAGTTATTCAAATAGATGTATGTTGATTTTACAAATGTATAGTAAACTTGATATTAATAGTACTTTAATAATTTGTAGGTGAATGCCTATTATAGTAAGTATCGAAAGAAGCCATGCAACTATTTTGACAAGTTCACCACCATATTTGGAGGCACAAACGCTACAGGTGTACATGTCCATACTTTCTACAGTTCACCCATTCTCAACCAAGCCCCCGCACATCATGAAGGCATACATACCTCATTTGACCTTAATGATGATTTTGTTGAGTTAGGCGGTCATGAGTTCAGTCATTCTCCTGAACCTCGTGGTAAGAAACCAAAGAGAGAGAGAGTTTTGCCTCCACAATGGATCGTGTCATGGAGAAAATGAGTTTACACTAGAGAAAACAGATCGAATTGAAAGGGCCATAGTCGCTTCTTCATCATCCAATATGAAAATAGTTCATGAAGCTGGGCAGGTTGAAGTCAATTCTCCGGACAAGACAAAAGGTGATTTTAAATTATGTTGTTATATTTTGAATAAGTTGGAGGGCGTTGATATGAAACAGTATGCTAAGGTCACCCAAATGTTACGTAATGATGAAGTTTGGAGGGATTTCTTTCTTAATGACCTTCCTGATGATAAAAGGGTTGGTTGGATCAATGGAATTTGATTTGGTATGTTGGTTTTATTATGACTTTGGATAACTGTACTAGTACGTATTATGACTTTTGGTCTGTCGTTTTTATTTCTTATTTGGTTTTGCTATGACTTTGGTTGATTGTAATATTAAGTACACTCATATTTATGTTATTTGGTTTGATTGTAATGACAATATAACTATTTCGCTTGCTTTGATTTTATTTGTTGTCTTGCGCGCTTTTATTTATTATTTGGTATTTCGTTTGAGATGATTGTAATTTATTTCGTTTATTAAATTTTGTATTATACAGATGGATATTAGGACAATAATTGACTTATATGATGATGGTGATGAGAAGAATGATTATGTCATCATAATGGCATGTATGTTGGAGTATTATAAGAAACATTACGAGAAACAATCTTGTAGGGATTCTCTTTTAACCGAGGAAGCATATATAATGGAGATCTTGCATGGGCATCGAAGTAAATGTTTTGAAAATTTCAAGATGTTCGCCCCTGTTTTTTTGAAGTTGTGTGGGGAGCTTAAGTCATTAGGGTTGAAAGACTCAACAGGTGTAAGTGTTTATGAACAAGTTGACATATTCTTGCTTACTTTAGCTCATAATGAAAGGAATCGTGTAGTCGCAGAAAGATTTCAACACTTTACCTATACAATTTCAAAATACTTCTATGCGGTTTTACAAAAAGTCTGTGATGGGAAACAGATTATTGTCCTTCCAGATTTCACCCAAGTTCCTAACCATATAAAGTAGTCAAAAAAATACCACCTTTTTTTTAAGAATTGTGTAGGGGCAATTGATGGAACTCATGTTCATGAGAACGTGCTCGTGGACCAGCAAATACCATTTCGTAATAGGAAGGGGGATACCGCACAAAATGTAATGGCTGTTTGTGATTTTGATATGATGTTCACATACGTCGTAGTAGGGTGGGAGGAGTTTGCTAATGATTCTAAGATATTGAACGAGACCATTAATAATGAGGATTTGCATTTCCCAATGCCTCCAAAAAGTAAATGTTATACTTACTATAATTTTGCAATACTTATTTAAAATATCATGGTGAAAAAACGTGTCTTATAGTTTGTAAAATGGCAGGGAAATATTATTTGGTGGATTCCGGATATGCCAATCAACCGGGTTTTTTGGCTCCCTATAGGGGCCAACGGTACCACTTCCAAGAGTACCGTAGAGCTTCTCAGCAACCCCAAGGTAGAGAGGAAATATATAATCACAGGTACTCGTCATTGCGCAATATAATTGAGCGTTATTTTGGGATGCTTAAGATGAGATTCCCCATCTTAAAGCAAATGCCCCCATATAGGTTTGAAGCTCAAGTTGCTATTGTTTTAGCCTGCTGCACACTTCATAACTTTATAAGAAAGGAGACGCATGTAGATCCAATATTTAATGATGCAACTATGGAGGCGATGATAGATGAAATTTTTGAAGATGATGATGTTGATGTTCAGCCTAATGCGTCGCACTCTCGCTCGCGACCAATGGATATTATATGCGATTATATTAATGATTCTATATGGAATGCAAGTCAGCACCCTTGAAATACTTTTACATGTTTATCATGTTTGGATAACTGTAATAACTACTTTAGACTTGTTCCATTTGTTAGTATTTGGATAACTGTAACAACTACTTTATTTTAATTATTTGTTAGGATTTGGATAACTGTAGTAACTACTTTATTTTAACATTAATTTACCATTTTTTTTTTTAAACTTTTTTGGATCAATGGAACTTGTATATGCAGTCATATATAAGGTACAGGGTGACGGGCCACTTTGTGCATGTGGAAGGGGTCGAATGAATCTTTATACAGTTAGAACTTCAAAAAATTATGAACTTTCATTCTATAAATGTCCAGCTTGGGAGGTATAAAATTTTCTTCGCATTAATAATTTTTTTTAATTACATCTTATTGTCAGAGGTGCATTCTAATAATATACTTTCTTTGTTCTGATTTAGTCACATGATCGTGCATTTATATGGTTGGATGACATGCACCATAGTCTGCAAGTGGATGGTCATGTGCAGGAAGAGTTGGAGGATGCAGTTGTTGTTATGCAAGCTCAACAAAATCGGCAAAACTACATTATCTATGGTTGTTGTTGTTATCTTACTATAACTATATTCTTTATGTTTTTGCTCATGTTGTTGTTGTTGATTATTGTGGCTGTTGATAAATGATGTAATATATTAGTTTAATTTTATTTCATGAACTTTTACTGTGCCTGTTGAAAAATGCTGTAATATTTTTGAAACTCATGTATGTAATATATTAAAATTCATGAAATGTATAATATGTTGAAACTTTATTTCAGTTTCATATTAAAACAATGTAGTCCACAACTGTGAAAATAATATGCAGCATTAATAGGTTTTACAATTTAGAATTTATTTTATCGGTTTTTATAATAAACTAAGATAAATTATTAACAATATATATATTAAAAGTTATATCAATTGTATATTAAAATTATACAATAATTAATTTTTACTTTATATTTAATAAAGTTATAAAAAATGTATTAATGAAAACAATATTTAAAAATATTCTTTACCAAACAAATTTAATTATTATTTTTTTTTTTTACTGATTTTGGTTATACTTTCACTTTGCCAAACATGTTTTGTTCTTATATCTCTTAAAATGAAACACATTGCCAAACATGTTCTACCATGTTTTTGTTTCAAAATTTTCAGAGCAATTTTTCGTTGTCAAACATGTTTTGTTCTCATTTCAGAACACCACACTACAAAACACTTGTTCTGTTCTAGGCTAAAACATTACACTATACCACACAACACTTCCCAAACAGACCCTTAAGAAATTAGATAGAATGCCTTGCTTTCATCTGTCAAATCACATTAGAGTTTGCTTGAAGAAATAGAAGGAACGTGTGATACACGTGCAAATTCTGAGAAAATACAACGTGAATATTCTACCATATTATGTATTCAAGACCGGAAAACCCCACTATACTATTCATAGTGTTTGATTCATTACCCATAGTGGGCATTGATTCCCACTACATTGTTCCTTCGATAGACTGGAAAGTCTTACTACCAAGAAAGGCAGGCCGCAGAACTTACAGAGTCCACTGAAAAGCCACAATGTTTTGATTGCAGTACATGTTAACCCTCGTTTCTACTTAAGGGGATGCTTCTTTTTCTTCCTTCACTTCCCGAGGATTGAAAAACAAGGGCACATATGCTCGCACTTGAATCTTGAAAGGACAAATCAAGTAGACTTTTGGGGCCTAAGTATCATTTTTCTTACTCCATGTGTTGTGTATATGTTTGTTATAATGTAGTGTTGTTTTCTCTATCTAATGCATTGGATGCAGTGGCGTAGCCACATAGGATCAAGTTGGGCAGCTGCCCCACTGAACTTTTAATTTTTTTTAATTTTATATGAAAATATTTTTATATTTGTATAATTGCCCCCACTAAAATTTGACATTGTACATATATATACTATATATATATATATAACCAAATGACCATTCATGGTATTACACTAAAAAAAAAAAAAAAGGAATATAATCTTTCTAAAAAATATGATAAAATTTGACATTGCACATATATATATATATAACCAATTGACCATTCATGGTATTACAAAAAAAAAAAAAAAAAAAAAAAAAAAAAAAAAAAGAATATAATCTTTCCAAAAAATATGATATTTTTTTTTTCACTTTATCAAAATATTATATTCTTTTTCACTTTCTTCAAAAATATAAGATATTCTTTCACACTTTTGACTTTATCACAAACAAATGCGTTGTTTCCATCACATTTTTAATCTTCAACATTTCTCTTTGGGTAGGTCTTTAACATTTCAAAAATTCGCAAAATCCAAACAAATATTGCAGTGCGGAGACAGGTAATCTGATATATATTTTTTTTATCATCTAAATTTATGATTACTATGCCATGAATATTTTGAAAACTCGACTGCGCAATCGAATGGAAGACCAATGGATGAATGATATGATGGTTGTGTATATTAAGAGAGATATATTTAATATTGTTGACAATGATATTATTATTCAATACTTTTAGAATATGAAAAATATTTTGAAATATTTAGTACTGTTTAGTTTATATATATATTATTTTAGTTCAAATTATATATATATATATATATTGTTGTTTTTGTTAAAAATTGCCCCCACTAAAGAAAATTCCTGGCTACGCCACTGATTGGATGTACATCAGGAAAAGAGTCTCAAACTACCAAAATACTTCTAGAAACAAGGACGTACAAATATTTCTTTTAAGTTGTTGCGGGGATTTCAGATATTCAGATACTTTCTGAATACATGAATGATACTTGTTCAAAACAAGTAGAAGTATCATGTATAAATATTTTATTTTTTGGTCTGACACGGTTGTGACATGGCAATGATACATTTGAACCAGGGGCGAAGCTAGGATTGTAAAGTAGGGAGGACTAATTAAACCCATGATTGCTTAGTGTGCCATCCATGCTCTAAATACATAATTATTATGCATCAGTTATTCAATTGAACCCAATAATTTACAACTTTCTAAAACATTTACACTTCCAAACTCTAACGTATTTTTACAGTCAAGAATCCATTGAAGTTTGCTTCATACAAGTATTAAAATAAACAATTACAATAATGCAATTTATATATGTTCCTTATCAATAAATTCACATTAGAAAGTAAGACCTATGTGCTCCGCCCTCGACTAGTTATTAATCTATTATATAGTAAATTACCCAATTTAACAAGAAATTATTAAGTCATCAACAACGCCCTTTTTTTTTTTTCTTTTCTTTTTTCATATACAAAAATAAAATTCAATATTTCACTGGATTAACAATAATAATTCATGATATCCATCTACTTATGCCTTAGTGTCTTACACACGAAGAGTTTAGGTCTTCTTCGATAGACTAATAATGTGTTTTGATTTACTGGGTTGGGCCCTATTATATTTTATTATAGTTTATTTTGTGATTGGGCATATCTATGGTTCGTGGGCTTGCTCATATTTAAGGTTTGACCTTTGTAAATTTTTTAACTCTTTTCATTTATAGAAATACTATGGATTAGGCTGGGTTGATAGGAAGAGGAAGAGTAGTACACGGGCTTATAGGAATAATAGTACTAATTTTTTTTTTTTTTAATTGGACATGGGCTATAGCCCAGGTTAGCTCATTACTAGTTTCTCCCTTGGTTTGAACACTTTAAGAATACGACACACGGTAATTTTGTAAATTTTTTTTTTTTTTTTTTTTAAATGGAATTCAATGCAATCTAAAATATATTATGGATTAATTAGAAAATAATATAAAATTTAAGAAAACAAAAATAACAAGCATCTAGCTCTAAATTACAACTTAGTAATTTATTTATAATTATATGAATAAAATGATAACAAATATTATATATATATATATATATATATATATATTGATGTATCCATACCATGCCGTATCTTATTTTTTTGAACTCCGACGTATTTTTCGTATCGTATTGTATTCGTATCGTATTGTATTCGTATCTTATATTCATATTCGTGCTTCATAGCAAATGATGGATTTGTTATCACACTAGAAAACGAAAACGCTACTTAGGCTATTAATGTGACCTTAATTATTTCACATTCACGAGTAAACCTAACTAGTAACCGCCTTGAATAACAGTTTTCAAACCAAATATGCCAACATTTTCTCTTACTACATGTAATGTTTTACAATCAATAGCCTTGGTTAGTTATCACATACGGAGCGAATACCTTCCTAAACCAACGGTTGGGTTGCTTCCCGTTATCTTTGAGAGTCTGATTTCGAACTTTTGCACATCTAACTTCTCATTTAACATTCTTGCCCGAAAAAAATAAAAAATAAAAAAAAAAATTATCACTTATGAACATATTGGTGGGTAGCATCAAATGCAAACACTTTTCAAGTAATGTATTGAAACATAATTTAAATTGAATTTTTGAGGGAAAAAAAAAAAACATAATAATAATGAATTCATTAACTTCAATGAGCTAATTTCTTAAAGTTTTATATAGTGTGTACGGAATATAATATTCAGGAAAACTACTGAGATAGAAGGACTGAGTGGAGGAAGTTTAAGTCCACTGGCGTTGATCAGAGTGTTTGGCCTTGGCCGGCTTTGTAGGTCCATCAAATTAGTAGGTTCCATATAGATTGACTTTGCCATTTAAAATCAATCAAACATTAAAACCGTAGAAACAATGTATTTTTTGCCATGTGTGGGACCCAAGTAGGTCTACGGTGCGTACCAAATGATAAATATATATATATCACAAAATTGGCATGATTTTTTCACCTCTCAAGTGACTTTAAAAATTATTTTTCAACAAAATATTTGAATGTGGATGCTATGTTGTACTCGTGGAGATTTTTGTTTTTATTTTTCCGGTAAATAAAGTGTCACATAGATTTTTAAGACAACAAATTTATTAAAAAAATTAAAAAACAATAAACTCCTCTGAACTATTGATAAATTTGCAAGAAACTCTTTGAATTTTAAAAGTTGTAACTAATTTTCTGAATTATTAAAATTATTACACAGTGAACCATTTTTGTTCATGGGTTGTAGATCCTAATCAGTACTCTCTTGTAACTCATATATAAAGGCGTTTATGGTTTGAAGTGTGAT